ATCTAAGAAAGAATTCAGGACTTTTTTTTAAAGCAATCCATTGAGCTGGCCAGAACCAACTCTTGAGGGAGTCTATTCCACGTTTTCAAGCTCTCACTGTGAAGAAACCTTTCCGTGTTTGGAGATTAATATTTTTCCTCCAGACATAGAGTGCCCCCTTGTCCTCTGTGATGACCTCAGGGTGAATAGCTCTACACCGAGTTCACTATATGAACCACTGATGTATTTTATACATAGAGCTCATATCCCCCCTTATGCATTATACATGGAGATCATATCCCCCCCTTATGTATTATACATGGAGATCATATCCCCCCTTATGTATTATACATGGAGATCATATCCCCCTTATGTATTATACATGGAGATCATATCCCCCCTTATGTATTATACATGGAGATCATATCCCCCTTATATATTATACATGGAGATCATATCCCCCCTTATGTATTATACATGGAGATCATATCCCCCCTTATTTAGTATACATGGAGATCATATCCCCCCCTTATGTATTATACATGGAGATCATATCCCCCCTTATGTATTATACATGGAGATCCTATCCCCCCTATATATTATACATGGAGATCATATCCCACCTTATGTATTATACATGGAGATCATATCCCCCCTTATGTATTATACATGTTGATCATATCCCCCCTTATGTATTATACATGGAGATCATATCCCCCCTTATGTATTATACATGTTGATCATATCCCCCCCTTATGTATTATACATGGTGATCATATCCCCCCTTATGTATTATACATGGAGATCATATCCCCCCTTACGTATTATACCTGGTGATCATATCCCCCCTTATGTATTATACATGGAGATCATATCCCCCCTTATGTATTATACATGGTGATCATATCCCCCCTTATGTATTATACATGGTGATCATATCCCCCCTTATGTATTATACATGGAGATCATATCCCCCCTTATGTATTATACATGGAGATCATATCCCCCCCCTTATGTATTATACATGGTGATCATAATCCCAGACCCTATATTGTTTATAAATATATTAAAAAGTAAGGGTCCCAACACTGATGACCCCTAGACCATTCAGCGTATGAATCATTAACCACTACTCTCTGAATACGATCTTTTAGCCAGTTTTCTATCCATTTACATACAGATTTTTCTAAGCCTGTAGACTTTACCTTACACATTAGCGTGTGTGTGGGGATCTGTGTCAAACGCTTTTGCAAAATCCAGGTATACCACGTCCACCGCCAGCCCTCTGTCCAGGTATACCACGTCCACCGCCAGCCCTCTGTCCAGGTATACCACGTCCACCGCCAGCCCTCTGTCCAGGTATACCACGTCCACCGCCAGCCCTCTGTCCAGGTATACCACGTCCACCGCCACCCCTCTGTCCAAGCTTTTACTCACCTCATAAAAAGAAATCAGGTTTGTTTGACAACTTCTGTCTTTCATGAATCCATGCTGTCTGTTGCTTAAAATATTTTTTTCCAAATCGAAACGTGTATAGCCAAAATTAGCTGTAGTTGCGCTTTATTTTATTGGCGGAGTCCATCTAAATCTGTATCTAACATCAACCTCCTCCTAAGTTGACAGTACCGCTGTCCAAAGGTGTCTGTGTTGCTCCTTCATCCAGAATGGAGCAACCTTCTGACAGGAAGTGTTACTGGCTGGATCACCAGGTGAAAAAGAAATAAAAAAAAACAAAAAATCGCAGCGACCACATTTAAAGTGATTCTGAAGGCAAAAGTGTGTTTTTTAATTTTATTTTTTTAAATTTACATCTTTGCTCTGTGCAAAGATGTTGCCTCCACTTTGCAGTCCCCTGCTGGCACTGGCCCCCTCCTCCTCCCTGCAATTGCCCACCTAGCAAGATATTTGCTTAGGGGGAACCTCTGTGGGCACACTCCAAAGCCGAGCTGTGTTTGTCCATAGACTCATGTAATGCTACTGGGCCAACCCCCCCCCCCCCCCCCCCCCCTCCTCATCACAGGATTTAACTGACCAGAGCAGGAGCCTATGGCTTCCACTGCTGCTTATGTCACCTGTGAAACCAGGAGGAGGGGAGAGCCTGCAGACAGACCATGCTGAATTGTGAGAGGCGGTGGGGGGGAGAACTAGTGGAATGTTTTTACCCTAATGCTGGGAATGCATTAAGGTAAAAAAAGTTTTTTTTGCTTTTAGAACCACTTTTTAGAATTGGTAAACTGCAATATATTAAATTTTTGTTTTTGGGCAGAATGCCACTTTAAGTAACCTACATGCCACTCCTATTTTAAGCCTCAATTTGTTGCATAGCAACCGGTTTTTTTTTTACTGGGTGTGGTACCAACTTCTGTGTGTGCTTGCATAGTGTCAATGGTTTTATACCATTGTGTGCAATAGGGCTTTGTAGATAAACATCCGTTTAACAATAAATAGTGTCATTTACTATGGAGCTAGATACTTGTCTGGAATCGGATATGAACACACTTTCTCAGTTTAGTTTGCATGTGGTCATAATCACAATGTTTTTGTGCAGCATCCCTTTGTTCCTGGCCTGTCCTGTATCACCTAGTGCAGGGGTCTGCAACCTTTAAGACATAAAGAGCCACTTGGACCCGTTTCCGAGAGGGAAAAAAAGACTGGGAGCCGCAAAACCATTGCAACATTTAAAACAATTTCGACACTGCATATATTGCAAAAAGCGCTCTGGTCATGAAGGGGGTTTAAGGGCCCAGTAAGCAAAGGGTTAATCAGGGCCACAGTGTATCGTCATAATCACAATCATAGCCTTAGGTCAGTGGTGGGCAACCTTTTTTTTTCAACTGAGCCAAATCTCGCCAAAACCACGATTGAAATTTATTTTGAGAGCCACATTTTTAAAACTGAAAATACATCCCCCATATAGTAATTCATCCCCCATATAGTAATTCATCCCCCATATAGTAATTCATCCCACCTATAGTAATTCATCCCCCCTATAGTAATTCATCCCCCGTATAGTAATTCATCCCCCATATTAAGTCCCCAAGTCCCCCCTGTGTCAATTCACTTACCATTGCTCTGCGCGCTCCTCTCGCCGTATTGCCGTGCCGTTCCGGTGTGTAGCATGAAAATCTGTCTCCTATGAGGATCTGTCCCCCTCGACGTATCTGCGCATGTGCCAGTTTCAGGCATTAGCAGCCGATCGGCGATCTCCGGCACATGCGCAGATACGTCGAGGGGGACAGATCCTCATAGGAGACAGATTTTTCATGCTACACCGGTCTTCAGGGCGGACTGTGAGAGGAGCCTAGCAGGAGCCTAGCTCCGCGGGCCGGATTAAAAGGTCCGCCGGGCCGTAGTTTGCCCATTGTTGCCCTATTGCCTGTCACCTGGTGGGCAGTGTGCTCTGGAGCCGCGGGTTGCCGACACCCGACCTAGTGTAATTATTGGTGAATTCTGTCCACACACCAGCTGAAAGATCCTGAAAACATTCTTGACTTTGGACTGGAAACAAACACCATTGTATGAGACAGGATAGTAATTTTTAAAGTGGTTGTAAATTTTTACATATACCCAGTGAAGTGACTGGCCTTAGGTGATGCATAGATTAAACAAATCCTCCTACATATGTTGTACCTGTTTATCTACAACCATCTTTCCCCTACATCCAAAATGCAGAATTTACACAGGATCTCTTGGCTCTGAAAAAGTAGGGGGTGAGGATCTGAAGTTACATCAGTGAGGAGAGCTGATTGGAGGGAAGGGACACACCTCCCTGCACACAAAAACAGGAGCTGAGGCTTTCAATCACAGGCTGTTCCCTCCCCTGTCACTTTTTTTTTTTTCCTTTTGGTGTCATGAAAAGTAGATGCAATCCATGTTGATAGACTAGGAATGAGGCAGCAGACAGAAAAGACACATAGTACTCTGGATTGAGACAATTTCACAGTATAGAGGGATATACTTTTCTCATATTTCATGTCAGATGTATACAACCACTCTTAACTGCTTGCCGACCTTATAAGTTACATATACCGTGGCAGAGCAGCTCTCATGCACTGGATCACATACCTAGTATGTGAGCTGTGCGCTGAGGCACGACGATCACCGGATCTCAGCCATTGATTGACCACCAGGACCCAGTGATCGGTGCTGAACACAGTTGTGTCATTGTAAACAATACAGAGCTCGCGTTCACTATTGAGATCTTGTTGGTTTTTCGTTCCCTGCTAAGCAGGGAATAAAAATAAGATCTTTCGTAAAAGCAGCACACATGACACATAGTTAGGCACACAGTTAACCCCTTGATCACCCTTTAGATGTTAACCCCTTCCCAGCCAGTGTCAATATTACAGTGACGGTGCATTTTGCTAGCACTGATCACTGTATTAATGTCACTGGTGATGTCCATTCCCTCAGTGTCAGATTGCCTGCCGCATTATCAGTCTCACTATAAGTCCTTGATCACCCACTATTAGTAGTATTAGAAAAAAGATTTGATAAAAATTCCAGCAATGTATCCCATAGGCGCTAGAACTTTCACACAAACCAATCAATACACACTTATTGAGATTCTTTTTTTACCAAAGACCTGTAGCAGAATACATTTTTGTGAAAAAAATTTTTTTTAAATTTTTTTTTTTATTGGATAGGTTTTTTATAGCAAAAACATTTTTTTCCCCAAAATTGCTGTTTTTTTTTTCATTTATATAGCAAACAATCAAAAAACAGAGGTGATCAAATAAAAGAAAAGCTCTATTTGTGTTTAAAAAAAAAAAAGGTTATCAGTTTAATTTGGGTAGCATTGCATGACTGTGAAATTGTCAGTTAAAATAATGCAGTGCCGAATAGCAAAAAATGACCTGGTCAGGAAGGGGGTAAATCTTTCTGGAGGGTGAGTGGTTGAACTATGCTACAATTTCCCATCTGGCTATGGTTTATACACCCTGATATTGGATGAAATATATACTGTCTATACCGCTTGACCCCCTTTTCTTTTTTTTTTTTTTTTTTCCTCCCTATGCCAGGCTCTTTCCGATAATGAGGAAGATCCAGCAGACTCTAGTAAAGAGCACCTGTCAGAATTATCATGTGAGGCAGCCAGAGAACAGCTGGTCAATAGCATTCGTCAGCAATGGCGGATACTTAAAAGCCACGTGGAAAAGTTGGACAGCCAAGGTGTGCTTTTCTGTCAGCTTTGTTACGGACTGCTCACTGCTCCTGTGGTCCTTTTTATTTACCGTTTATCACACTATTTTCAGCTGCCCAAAAACGCGTGGCATCACCAGACCGTAAGGGATTGATTTCCAGGGAAGAGCATGAGAAAGAGATGGAACAACTGAAAAATGAAATCCGAGAGTGCAGGGAAACCATCAAGAACCAGCAGCATCTTTTGCAGGTATTTTATTTAGCTAAATGGCAATTTGCAATGGTCAAATCGGGAGCATCTTTGACTAGCATTTTTTTTTATTTGCCTGATGATCTGCTCATAGCGTTCTGCTCTGAAAAGAGTCCGGCAGTTTCGCTATCTTATCTTATTGTAATAATGAACTGTGCAATTCTCTGTACATCAAATAAATCTGCGTATACACAAGAAAATAAGTTATTCTGCATATACTCAGGTAAATAAGTGTGATTTTTCTCTCCTTAAGTACAACTTGTTGTCCTCATCACTATTGATTGTATATTTAGCAATTAATATCAATGGTGATGTACAGGCTGCACACTTTTTTTGATTTTGTTGTGCTATGCTGCCATCTAGAGGTTTATGGTATTTAAATATTTTTTGATATTTATACACTTTTTTATTAGTTATTTGTATCATAATTTGAATTAATTTAATGGTAATAATTTAATTATTTATTGAGAAGTATTTAGGAGCGCAACATATATTTGTAGTTATGGTGTGTGAGCTTTTCTTTTCCCTCCCCTCTCCTCCCCTTCCCTTTACGATCAATAATTATAACTGCATGTGTTTTATAAATGCCTAGAAACAAGTCAAATTCACTGTGCATTACAGATTTAGTGGTAACCCAATATTTAATACAGAGTAGCAGGATTGACATTTTATGATTATCTATGTATTAATGCTGATTAGTCTTTTGTTTGGGCTAGATAGTTGTCCTTCAGTGCATGTGTGCTAACAAGAGACATGCTCTTAGGAGGAGAGAGCAGAGTGACAGGGAGATGAGTTTCAGTCTGCTGTCTGTCCTTTCACTGTCCATTCGAAGACTGGGGGAAGGACAAGACCTGTAAGTGTTTAAGTGTAGCAAAGAAAAAGTAGGCCTTCCCTGTCAGATATTTTCTTTGTGTATGTCTCCGAACTGGATAGACCTAAATACAAATCATTTGGCAGGTAAAATGTGTGTGTGTTTTCCCTGCCTTGAATTCCACTTTAAAGTGGAGCTCCGGTCCCCCTAAAAAAAAATGTTAAAAGCAGATCCACGATGACCTTACAAATAGCATTAACAATTGGAATAATTCAATATTAAAAGTATTGTAATTACCGTATTTTCCGGCATATAAGGTGACTGGGTGTATAAGACGACCCCCTAATTTTCCAGTTAAAACATAGGTTTTGGGCTATACTCGCCATATAAGACTACCCCCCTTCCGAGGCAACACCATTTAAAAACATCAGATTTTTTTTATTGAAATGGTTATGACTTACCGGTACTTAAAATCCTTCAAAATCCTCATGTTCATCCTCTGACATAAGTTCATGAATGTCATCTTGTGATACATTTGTAAGACAGTCATCATATGGATCAAATTCCAAATCAGATGGTTCCCGCTGGATGTGCGGTAATACGGTAGCTTCGGCTACATACAGTATACAGTATATATACAGCCCGCTGGATGTGCAGTAATGTACATACAGTATACCGCGCTGAGTCAAGCTGGCTCAAAACAAATGTCCCTATGACAGATTAATCTGTCAGCCCGCTGGATGTGCGGTATATACAGTATACTGAGCCAAGCTGTTTCAAAATGTACCGGTATTCCCTACTGTAATCAGCCCGCTGGATGTGTGTATGTACAGTAGCTGAGGCTACATACAGTATACACTGGGCCAATCACAGTGAGCGATGTATTCTACTAATGAATACAAAGCCTGTTCGGATTGGCTGAGGTTGTGACATCATCAGCCCACCTCTCTGAATCGGCCAAACCGAGCAGGCTTTGTATTCATTAGTAGAATACATCGCTCGCCGTGATTGGCCCAGTGTATACTGTATGTAGCCGCAGCTACCGTACATACACGCATCCAGCGGGCTGATTACAGTAGGGACATACCGGTACGTTTTGATACCGCTTGGCTCAGCGCAGTATACTGTATATACCGCACATCCAGCGGGCTGACAGATTAATCTGTCATAGGGACATTTGTTTTGAGCCAGCTTGGCTCAGCACGGTATACTGTATGTACAGTGTTACCACACATCCAGCCAGCTTGACCCAAACAAACTCAGGGTTCACATTTTATACCCCGCGTATAGACGACCCCCAATTTTTGGGGTAAATTTTAAGTATAAAAAGTAGTCTTCTACGCCAGAAAATACTGTACTTAGAAAATCGGAAACATTTACCAGGATCTCAGAAGCAGGCAGGCACCATGATTGCTGTGGGCATCTGAAGCACGCAGGTGTTTATTTTCTGGAATCGTGCTGCTGGCTATTCCAGCATGCACCCCTCGTTCTCGCACATGCGCAGTACAGACACTGCTCGGCGCGACGTGTGCAGTACAGGTTGCCATAACAATGGTTGAAACACCTCCCATTCGCGTCATTTCCAGTTTCCAAGTTGCGTGATTACAGGAAACCAAGGACTCCTGGGATACAGGAAACGACATCCCAGGAGACCTTGCAAATTGCCTTACGTCATCGCCTAGGCGGTCTGGACCGGAACTGCAGGCTTGCAGTGGATTAAAAAGTATGTATAATGAAGAAAAAAAAATATCCAACTTGTGCTTTATTTCACAGGGACTACATAATAAGGTAAAGTATAAAAAATGGGTGGAACTCCACTTTAAGAGAAGTATGGAAATAAAAAATAAATATTCATTCTCGCCCAGCTGGCTGCAGCATCAATCTAATGCTGTTGCTGTCCCCCGCCGGCTCTACACCAAGAACTGAGTAATCCAAGACAGCTGATCGCTCAGTTCTTGGGTCTGAGCACAGAGCAGTGACTGTCGATGACTACTCACTGGAGCTCTGGACTGGGAAGGGCGCAAGAGCTAGCTCAAGTTCTTAGCGGAACAGTGATAGGCTAAGCCAGCTGTCTGTCAGTCATCTGAGCAGATCCCGACATTGTCAGCATCTCTGCAGAGCCTTGGCTCTGTGATGTCACTCAACAGCGGGCTGTAGTCACAGGTGAAGTATAGCCAAAAATGCTGCTGATAGCACAGAAAGATGGCAGCAGACAGAAATGATACTTGGTGCTCTGGATTGAGACAAGTACACTCTATAGAGGGCTATGCTTTGCTCATATTTCATGCCTCAGGTTTACAACCACTTTAATGTCAAAGGGGAACTAACACATTCTTTCTTTCTGCAGCAGCAAATCATTGTAGGAAATGATGATACATCTGCCATCCTCCAGGACTGCTACCTCCTTGAAGATCAGGAGCGTCTCCAGGAAGAATGGAGATTATTTCATGAGCAAAAAAAGAACTTTGAAAAAGAGAGAAGGAATTTCACTGAAGCTGCCATCCGCCTGGGACACGAGGTGAGTTATTTCACATGAAAGCTGCTACTCCATGCTGGCCACCAGATGGCACCTAATTTTCACTTGCATGGTAGTCTGTAGATAAATGTGTTCTAGAGCGCTAAATTTTATTTTATCGTATGTTATGTTTGTGTCCCCCAGAGAAAAGTGTTTGAAGAGGACAGAGCAATGTGGTTAAAACATCAGTTCCTAAACATGTCCTTGTTTTGCGATCGCAAAAGTGCTGAGTACTGCCAACCTCAAAGTGCCTTTTCAAGTAAGAGTTCAAATTTTCATCTCTGTATCCTAATGAGTTTTATTTCCTAGAATGGAAAAGACTACCACTAACCCAACATCCGAAGTACAAGCTAGGTCCAGTGTTATCATTCACAATACATTTCAAACATTTGAGCTTTCCTTTGCTGTGCAGGAATGGCTGGGAGAAAGGTCTACATGCTGGGAATCTTCTAATGCAACCACAGCTTGTGAAAAAACATAGCAGAGTGGTATGATTGTGGTAATATTTATCACATTGTTTGAATACGTCTGATATATGAAGAATGCATTTACAAAAATAGTACTCTTGTATGGACTATTTCCTTCTACTGAGTTGGGCTTCTTTCTTGGATGGTATACCCTGGGAGTGGGGTAGGCAACCTTAAAGAGATGGAGATCTACCTGAACAATATGGGAGAAGTCAAAGATCAACGGGAACCCAGTGTCACCCAGTGTTGCCTCCTTACATCTGATTTAACGTGTTGCAATCGCATGCATTGCACAGCAATCATGGGTTTAAATCAAGTGGTAAGGAGGCAACAACATATTGCTGCCTCACCACCTATCAAACACACTCGGATTGCTTTTCAGAGGAGCAGCAGTGCCTGCTGCACTTGTGAATGAGCCCTTAGTTGCATTCGGCAGTGGCACCCTTAGGGCTCATTCACACAAAGTTGGATGGTGGTAAAGCCCTGAAGGTTAATAGTGGTTTTACTGCTCAAATCCCTACCCCCTATAGCTGCTCAGGCAGTAGCCATAGGTGTACACGTGCTGCAGCAGAAATTTAACCCCCTGTTGCTTTTGGATGGGTGCTACCGGCTGCCAAATTGCGACCCATTCAAGTACATGGAGATACTCTGCAACCCCCCCCCCCCCCCCACTACTGCATGCTTCTGTGGGGTCCAAGTGGTTCAAGCAGGTGGTGAGAAAGTGACACAACGCTGTCTGCTTGAACCCCTTTTTTCTGTACTGCACAAGGTTGCAGGGCACTTGCAGAGCGGCCTCATCCATTTGAAAGGGTCGTGCTTGGCAGGTGCTACACTCACCAACCATGACAGGGCATATAACTCTGCTGCATCATGTGTACACCCCTGGCCACTGCACCTAAATGGGTGGGGTTGGAGCAGTAAAAACACATCTTGACAGGAGTGTTACTACCAAAACTGCAAATGTAACCTTTCCTGGCTGCTTTAGCTGCTGTGTTTGCCATAGACTTTCTATTCTATCCTACAGGTGTGGTGCACTATCTGAAAGTAAATATAAACTGTTAAATACCTTTTCTCATCACCAGTATAGAGTAGTCTTGTGACTTCTGTCAGAGTTCAGTTGAGCACTGGTTAAAGCTTATAGGCGGACTTTTCATTCTGCTCTGACTGTCCTATGAGGCTGCATAACCCCCAACCCTCTGTCTGGACAGTGCTGATTGGCTCTGTAGTAATCACATGCACCCTCCCAAAGAGGAAAAAAAAACTCTCTAGCAATACACCCCAAACTGAGCATGTGCAGAGTGATTCCTAGAGCTCCGTACTATACAGATGGATTAGGGACAGTAGAAGGTGAACATCACAGAAGACAGATCAAACAGCCTTTTTACACAATGTGGATTAACCCCTTAGGTTCCACAGTGAGTATAACAAGCATGCTTTACTGCATATACAGACTGATTTTACTGTTGTGTGTTTATTGACACTTTAGGACTTTCTATTCACTGTTTGCACTATTTTATCAGTTGTATGCAGATTGTTTTCATGCTTGTATTATGTTTCAGGCCATGAGCAGGAATCCCATATAATCCAGACAAAGTCACCTCAATCCAAACTCCGTATGACCTCTCCAGACGATGTCACAAGAAGCATCGGAAAGTCACTGCCCATCACCTCTCATACCAACCAGCAACCTCTTCATAGATACAGGTATTGTATAGTGTCTTTATAGATATCTATAGTGTATTTTCGGTTTTGTATGTTTTGGTTACTGAAATGTTTTTTTTTTTTTAAACATTGTAAATGCCCTGTCTATGGGCTGTTTGTACATCATACTAAGGCAGTCAGCAGTGCTGGCTGAATGGCTGCTAAGGAGATTGCGTTGGCCTGAGCTAACCTATAGACATGCAAGAGACGCAGCAAAGTACGATCACTGTACAGCACTTTCACCAAGCAAGAAGACCTCTTCTATATGGTAAAAGCAATGTAGCTGACGCCATATACATGCAGAATTTTAAACTATACCTAGAAACAAGATCTGTAACACATGTACACAAACTTGTAAGATTATATTCACAAATAGCCATTTGCATGACAACTATTTAACCGCTTGCCTCCAGAGGATTTACCCCCCCCCCCATCCTGACCAGGCCATTTTTTACCTTCCGGCACTGTGTTACTTTAACTGAAATTGCGCGGTCATGCAATACTGCACCCAAATGAAATTTGCGTCCTTTTTTTTTTTTTTCCCCCCACAAATCGAGCTTTCTTTCGGTGGTATTTGATCACCTGTGGGTTTTTTTTTTTGCGCTTTAAAAAAAAGGCCGACAATTTTAAGAAAAATAAACAATATTTTTGACTTTTTGCTATTAAACATGTCCAGTAAAAAAATTTTATTTTGTCATAAATTTAGGCCAAAATGTATTCTGCCACATGTCTTTGCTATAAAAAAAAAAAAAAAAAAAAAAAAAAAAAAAAAATCCCAATACGTGTAAATTGGTTTACGTGAAGATTATAGCATTTACAAATGGCGGTGTATATATACTGGGATTTTTTTTTCTTTTTTACTAGTAATGGCGGCAATCAGTGACTTATCACAGGACTGTGATGGGCCTTCTGACACGGGGTGGGGGAACTGACTTGGTGTCACTGATTTCCCCAGTGACACCAATACAGTGATCAGTGCTAGTAAAAAAGCACTGACATTGTACTAATGGCACTGGACAGGAAGGGGTTAACATGTGGGCGATCAAAGGGTTAACTGTGTGCTGCTTGTGTGTGCTTTGCTGTAAGCATGCTGCTTTTGCATGGCTCTGCTATTACCTCCATCGGTAATGCTGGCGAGTTATCACTGGCCAGGACCCAGTGATTGACAGCTGATGCCACGAATAGTGACGCGGGTAAGGCGCGCCCCCCCTACCTGGAAATGCAAAGTCGTGTGTATATGTGCGTGATTTTGCGCACCCCCTGCGCCCTGTAGCAGCATATCTGCTATAGGTGGCATGAAAGCGGTTAAGTATGTAAAAATGAAAAACATATTCCTGCTCTCCCTGATATTTGATCCATCAAATTTAGAGCAGGATATTGGAAATTTTGGTTCTCTTGGTTTTTCCAGATCTGTAAATCTTAACACATATTCTACCCTTAAAGTATCCAGGTACATCACAGCTTTTTATGTAGCCTCTCTGAAGTCTGCACTATACAGTGTAGAGGGCAGCATGCTGTAGGCCAGGACCAAGAGCTATGAGAACAGTATCTGGGATCCCTCTAGCTATGCATTCTGCTCTCTGAAATGTTGTTTAGAAATTATTTGACTCCTGTCATTGTATAAAACTAGTATCTGACGAAGATGCAGAGGGGAATTTACTAAGACTGCAGCAAACAGAATCTAGAGCGGTTGTGCATGGTAACCAATCAGCGTTTATCTTTCATTTGCCGGCCTAACTGAACAAGCTGAAGATAGAAGCTGATTGGTTGCCATGCACATTTGCTCTAGTTTTAGTAAATTACCCTCGTTCTTTCTATTTTAATCCTGGTCTGTAGACCTATTTTTTCTGCTTAAAATATGTGAACTCTCATGGTATAAAACAATCCAATCAGTTTAAAGCAGAAATTTTGTTTTATAGATATAAAAACGTTAATACCTTTTTTCCATTTTTTTATTAGTGATCACATTCCCTCTGTTCTCAGCTGCATGAGGAGCTCAGAGCTGGGAGGGGAGAAACAGCAAACACTGGTCTTCCCGTGAATGGCTGTGCAGGAAGCAGGGGTGTCAGGACAAGTATGATCATTGGAGGAGAGCAGGCTGAGTTCCCAATTCAGCCAGAAAACTGAACACACTGTGATCTCATTCCTAGTGTGGTCAGTTTTTAATAGGAGAGCAGAGGGACAGGCAGGAACACCAGGGATTTCACACAAAGGAAGCAATACAAAGAGAACAGGATACTTTTTCGTTAGAAACGTTAGACTTGCATATTCCTTCATACAGTAAGGCCTGCCTAAAGACCTCAATATGAGTAGAAGAATATTGACACTGGGCTTCAGCCTTCAGCAGTAATGGGTTATGTTTACTGTGTTGCTTGTTATTCCTAGATATATAGGTGTAGTCATTCTACAGAAAAAAAAATTAAATTTTTTTGCAAGGTTCTCATGTAGTCTGTGAAGTTAACTTCATGTGAACAGTAGGTACTATGTGCCAAGAATTCTCATTTAATTTGCTTTTGCTTTGAACATTTTTGCACATACAATACGGTAACTATGGTAAATGATAAGATGGATGATTTTAATTCATACTTTTCTACGTTTTAAGCCGTGTGTAGCTAGTTTGTCCACCAGATGGAGATGTTTCTGTATATTTGATCTGATGCTTTGCCTATTAGTCATTCTGTACTTTGCTCCTTGGGCACGGGTTTTTTTTTTTTTTGTAATTATTTATTTAATACATTATTGATCTTCTTTTTTTATGCTCGGATCACACTGCTGCAACTTGGGATCCAACTTGTGAGACCCCGAGTCTCATGACATGTGAAATCCCATGTTATTCAATGAGAGTTATTCAATGAGAGACTGTCCTAATTGGCACATACTGAAGTCGCTCCGACTTTAAAAAAGGTTCCTGTACTTCAAGGCGACTTCTATCCGATTTATGCCCATAGACTTTAACGGAGGTCTCCAAGTAAAATCCTCATTTATATTAATTTGGAACCAACATTGCAGGAAAATTACCCAGGCATTCCCTGAAAGTCGCATCAAAGTAGTACTCAAGTCTCCAGGAAGTCACTTGGCAAAGTCGCACTATAAGTCGCGCTACTTTCAGGTCGCAGTAGTGTGAACGAAGACTTACACACGTTCCAATCTCTCCCAGGCATATGTAACTATTATGAAATCGCTATACAAGTAATCTGGTTTCTAAAATAAGTTTCCGAGCACAAATAATATTCACAAGCATGTATGTAGAAGATGTTGTGGTGCTCTCTGAGGGATACCAGTGATGACTGTGAAAAACAAACAAAAAAGAAAAATTCCCAGTTCTAACTTGCCAGCAAGCTGGCTGGCAAGTTAGAGCTGGGAATTTCTCTTTTGTTGTGTTGACATGCGTCGCCCTTCCATGTGCTCCTTGCTGTAAAGGCCAGTTATAGACTGGGGCAGTGGCCATTTTTTGTACTGATGACAGTGAAAGCCTTGTATTTTCCCTAGGACCTGTTACTTCAATATATAATCCCTGCATTTTGTATATACTGTATGTATAGAATCTAACTTCACTTTCAGTGTTACTTATGCATTTATACTTACCTCCACAGCCTCAACATATTTCCAGTAAGAAGAGCTACCTTTCTTGAATTGAAATTCTTCTTAACCACATCCTGAGCGCCCTATAGCAGATATACTGCTACAGAGCGGCAGGGGTGCACAAAATCACACATATATACACGTGATTTTGTGTTTCCGGGTAGGGGGCGTGCTTGAGCTCCCTACCCATGCCGCCATTTGCGGCTCTCAATCACCAGGTCCCGTACGGTGATTACCCGCCAGCACCCAGTGCTTACCAAGGATCTTTGACAGGGAGGAGGGCTGCTTTGTTTACTAACAGTCCTCCTCCCTGTCAGCCCGGGCACACTGTACTGGATGGCTGTGCACAGCACAGCCATCCAGACAAGTGTGCTTATGGTGAAGCACCAACACACCGCCCCCCAGTAAAACACTCCCAGCACTGATCACTGGGGATGTCAATGGTGTTTGTCTGATGCGCCGCCATTACTATTACTATTAAAAAATAAATTCCAGTGTGTATATATATATACTGCCATTTTGTAAATGCTATAACTGTCACGTAAACCAATTTACACGTATTGGGTTTTTTTTTTTTTTTTTTTTTTTCGCAAAGACCTGTAGCAGAATACATTTTGGCCTAAATTTGATTTTTTAAAACATATTTTTACTGGACATGTTTAATAGCAAAACGTCAAAAATAGATTTTTTTTTTTCTCAAAACTGTTTGGTCTTTTTTTTTTTTTTTTTTTTCTTATAGCGCAAAAAATTAAAAAAAACGCACAGGCGAACAAATACCACCAAAAGAAAGCTAAATTCATAGGGGGGAAAAAAGGATGTAAATTTAATTTGGGTGCAGCGTTGCATGACCCTGCAATTGTTAAAGTAATGCAGCGCCGTAATGTAAAATAATGGCCTTGTCAGGAAGAGCAAGTGGTTAAGCAGCACGGCCTGAAGCTTCCCTGCTCTGTATTCTCCCTGCTTTGCTGTGCAGGGGCTGTTTATGCCTCCAGATGGTATCTTCTAGTAGTTGTTTAATGTACAGTTTAAACAGGGAAGCAGAACCATGGCCAGACGTTTGGTGGCCATGTTGCTTAAAATGGCACGTTTTCAATAAAGGCAACAAATGATATTGGAATTTCTGAGTTTTTGGGGGCGGTACAAATGCACATACTGACAGTGCACAGTTTATCAAACATGATGATCACCATTCCCTGTATTAAAAATGAATATTTTTAGGAATTCTATTTGGGTGTTGATGTACTGATTTGTTGATGTTGCATCCTAATTATGTTTTCTTTTTTCTTTCTCCTAGCACTTCAAGAACAGATTCAAACAGCAGTGATCTGTGAATGAAAGGTGGAGCTGGCTACTACATCACCCATAGCGCATGCATGCGCTGGCCTGTGGCCTTCTTATTTGTTCTGTATTTAATTTATTACAATCTTCTCCAATGTATGGGACTTTCTTTTGCTATAGTGTTCACTGCCCCACATTCGTTGCATGAGTTGCCTGTCTGTCCTCAGCACTGAAGTCACGAGCCCATGGCTTGTTGGCCTGTTCTGATTTATGTCTCTCATATGTAGTATGTCTGACATTCTATATTGTGAATGTTTTCTCTCAGGGAATAAAGTTTAAAGGAATATATCATGGCCTTAAATTGGCATGATGCATGTAATGCCTGCTCAGTTGATGAATGCAGATACTAAGAAGGCCTCTGAACAGAGTTCAGTTTAGAAAATATTGATGTATAGAGATTTAGCTGGGGTGGCCTGCTGGTAGGCTGCAGACTGGCAAAAATACACTAGATCTCAAGATTGGAGGTGACCAAAGTATTATTTCACAAATGATTCTCACAAAGTGCAAACAATATCCAGCAATAAGGAGTTAAATTGGATCTCTGTAGAGCAAAAAAGGATAAAAGCATAACATCTCTTCACCTGCTGACTGTGGATAGTTGCTGAACCACTGACAGGCCCATTAGCAGGTCCAACCACTGAATATACATCTGTGCTTTGGCAAAATAACCCCTGTAAAGGAGTTCAAGATCCAATTTTGAACTTCACTTGTGGTTGGGTTCTGAGGTTTTGGTATTGTACCAATATGTTAAAGGATGTGTGTTTGTCTCATTGCTGCTCATTCTCTAGGAGATATCTGCTTAACTGCAGCCAACCAAGAATTGCTGTACGTAGGTCATTAGCTGCTCATCTGCAGCTTGTATACTGGCTGTTGAGTCGACAACCATAGCATGGAAAGAAAGTATTTCTTAGTTTAGCTTTCCACCATTAAGGAGTACTTTTTTTTTTTTTTTTTTTTTTTAAACTAATGCTTAGTTTGCCAACATTGCTAATATACAGACACATTCTAGTTCGAAAATTGCACCATATCACAATATTTTATAGATCTGTCCCCTATTTTGTTCTCTTGGCTCGTTGAACTGCATGGATTTTCAATAAACTATTCTGGTGGCCAAAACCTAGCAGAAGTTTATTTTATGTGGACATTTTTCTTATGCCTGTTCACTATCAACTAGTGACTTCATATCGGCATATGGGTAGTAAACTGCCCATGCTGAGTTTTTGAGCCCATTATACTGGTTCGCATTAACCCAGATCTTAATAAAACTCCTATTGGTCCAAAACACATCCTAGAACTTGAAACATTGATTTAATCTGCTGAATTGCTTAAGTATATCTTCACTATGAAATGATACGTATCCTCTACCTACACATCCGTAAGAAAGGTCATTGCCTTGTTACTATGATGTGATAGCACAGAGAATTACCCCTGGCATTGGAATAGAAGTGAATCGGCTATTACACAGAAAGCTGATGGCTGGATAAATACATTGATTTTCAGTCCAGTGTAGTCCACACAATGACTTCTGTACCTCTGTGTGTCAAATCAGAACTGACGTTTCCTGTATAATACATCCGTTCTGCATGTTTATAGTAGACAAATCAATTTTTATAAACTGTTCTGATAAAGAATTTATTTAGCATAAAGTGGATGCCTAGTGCAGAATTGCGTAGAGTTTTTTTTTTTTTTTTTTTTTTTTTTAATTATTATTATTTTTATAAATGATTACTCCACTGGGAAGTGATATTTCCATTTTGGAATGACATCATTGGATTGAATCACTTGCTAGTTCTTGCATCTATTGGACATCAGCGGTGATATTTCCTGTAGTACTTTGTGTATATGACCCTCTCCCACAAGGCAACAATGATCTTGCAGTTAAATTGTTATCCTGGAGGGCAGTGTGGTGCCATCAATTTGCTCTGTACTGGGCATGATAGCTGGTTCAAACTGGAATTCTATGAAAAATATCTCACTGTTTGATTTGCTGGAAGATGCAAAAAGCAAGCAACATTTCATTTGGAATTATCCGTTCAGGGTGGAGTTAGCCGATTAAAGGTAAATCTTGCACTTTCTTCATTGTTTAAGCCCCTGGTTTTTTCTTAATTTCTCAATAAAATCTTAGATCTCTTGCTTGTTATATTTCATACGATAATGCAAGGAGCATTGATGATATTCAAAGTTTACAAAATGATAGCAGGCATTCAGACTTCTGTGTCCTGCAATCACACATTCAGATTTCTGTGTCCTGCAATCTCATGATCAAGAAGTGAATTTTGATTGGTTTCTATGGGTTACTGCACTTCGGACATTCTCTTTGCTGTATCAGACAAGCCTGTAAATATTCAGGAAGATGGAACGCGTTTGTTGACCCTAAGGGCTCACTCTGCAGAAGGCTGCACAATGACTAGCAGTACTAAAGCTTTAATGTCATTGGTTTCCTTTTGCTTTTTTAATAGGTTGATATTTTATGCTACTTAAGTGGTAGGGTTCTTAGGTTATTGCAGTCTAATATTTGTTTTATTTTTTACAGTTTTGAAGAGTGTGAGAGCAGTTTCTGGTTCAAGCTGCAGCCTGTGTGGATGTTGCTGCTGACCTCTCATATCAGTAAAGCAGAATAAACGTCCTAAACGGACGTACACTAGTGAGAACAGGAAGGAGGAGATTAAAGTCTTCATGCTCTTAGGTCATTTTTATAATTGAAAAAAGTAAATCAAGGTATGCACACAGCTCGTCTGTTATCTTCCATTCTAAACATAATAGATTTTGGATGAAGTGCCTGCATTTGTAAAAGACTGAGAATTCTGCATATGGGCACCATTCACAGCAGATGCGGTGTTACAGTGCTGGGTGGTTATTCCAGCGCAGTATCACAGCATGACGAGGCAAAATGCCTTGTCTACTGTATGCTCAATTCACACCACTGCTTTTCTTTAGTCTGTGGGCACGTTGCGCTGCACGCACTACTTTTTTTTTTTTTTTTTTTTTTTTTTTTTTTTTTTCTAGTGCACCTCGCAGCAGCAAAAAACTGTGACATTTCAATAAAGTTCATTTTAAAAAAAAAAGTATGAGATCGGTGCAGTACAGAGTGGCAATTCCTGTTAGCCCGGCACACCAGCAGCTGCATTATAAAGCTGGCTGCTGTGAGTGGACTGTTTAATTCTATCCGTTATATCAAACATTGACCTATGCCTTAAGGGGTAACTGCGGCCCTGTCACTAAAGTTCCTGGGCAATGCACTCATGGGAAATGTAGTTCCACAACAGCTGGAGAGCCGCAGTTTGCCCACCCCTGCCTTAGGGCACCTACAATGCAAAATAAAAATGCATAAACATTGGTTATGTTCACGTGTCAGAATAACTAGTAGCTCCATGTGAGATGGTCAGTTTGTTGCATGGTATAAGTCACACCGCTGCGATTTAAAATCACTTTCGCAATTTCTGAAGACTTTATTGCTACTTGTAAAGATTTTCAGCGATTTCTTGCAATTTGCAGTGCGATTTCCATTCTAATCTATGCATGTGAAATCGCAACAAAACTGCAGAAAAAGTAATGCTATAACTACTTTAGAAATCGCGCTGCAGCAAATCACACATGTTAAGACACTGACATTCACATTCATTAGATGCGATTTTCAGATGCAATTTTAATTCGCAAATTGCACCTGAAATCGCACTGGTGTGACCGGGCACTTAGAGCTGGTTCACACTGCCGCAATTTCAGGTGCAATTTGGAATTGAAATCTTACCTGAAATTGGATCGAGTGAATGTGAGTGTCTTAACATACGCAATTTGCTGCAGCGAGATTTCTAAAGTAGTTCTTGTATTACTTTTTTCTGCAGTTTGTTGCAATTTCACATAGACTACAATAGAAATTCCAATGGAAACCGCAAGAAATCGTTGGGAAATCTTCAGAAAATGCGGCAAACAAAATGCACGATTTTAAATCTCATCCAGTGTGAACCAAGACTTAGTGATGTTCTGCAAGACTCAGATCTGTGCTGATCCTTAGGGATGTGCAGGGAGTGGGAGGAAAAGGGGCACCAAGTTTGACCTGTAAAGGAAAAGTTAGGATTGGCACATAACTTCAGCTGCCTATATGTTTTGGTCTAGTAGTAGTTCTGGCATGCAGTAATCAATGACTACAAACCTTGTTTATGCTTTGTTTCATTATGTGATCACTGACTTTCCCAAGACTGACCAATAATTCTGCTACTATAAACATCCGAGGCAAGTGGGGTGCAATAATCTGTTGCTTGACTTGCTATGAATTAGTGGCAGCATGCCACAGTGTCTTCACTGGAAAGCCGTGTTCTCTGAATGTTTCTCTTGACAATATGGCTTCTTTCTTTTCACATGGTCAACGGGTACTAAAAGTGGTTTCTCAATGATTGGCTTGTAAAATTACTGCCTCTATATAAGACCTATCTGCTGGATACCAATTATGTGATCTATTATGCAGAGCATTTGTTGGTGTAGCTCTGTCTTATGACATTTTGTGTAAACTAGAAGAATGTATTTCTTTCAATATTGTAGGCACTGGTCACTAGAATAATCATTTCTTACTATCCTGTAGGCACTGGTCACAGACTTCTGGCACTTAGACATGTTTAGTTGTTTTGTGTTTGTTTTTGCTCCCTGATTTGTTTTGTTTTGCTCTTAAATTTGTAATAAAAAAATTTTTTTTGGTTTTTAATCTGTGTCATTTATGAATTTTGTTTAGGGATACCATATGGGAATGGATAAATAAAACAGGAGGAAATCTTGCTTGTCCTAACAAGTTGATATTGGATGGACGGCTAATTATAGAGATGAAAGTAGATGTAAACCCCAAAGCTGGCCATACATTAGTAAACTTTCAAATTAACTTCTGTACAAATATTCTTTCAAATGTACAGTGACTTGCCAGATGTGGTTGAATTGCTTTAAAATTTAGTTTGCTTTTAACATTTGATTTTGGAGTGGACTTTCCTGTATAAAAACCACATTCACT